AAACGAGTTCACCTAGTGAGCATACCTTGTTTCCTTATACCATATCTATAACCGAAAACAAACGAGATAGATTTAGAGATATATTTATCATAAGTTTTATAAAATGAGGATTTGTTTGAAGACCAGTGTAATGAAAAACGTTAAAAAGTAAAAAAGAGACAGTGAATAGAGATAAGCATAGAGAAGACTCTGCAAGGAATAATGTTAATATAGCCCATTAAGAACTGCAAAGACAAATATAAATATAAATGGTTGAAGTATATCATATAACAGTATATATGAGTAGGCATAATTTTGAAATTGCATATTTTTCTTAAGCCAAAAGAAAACAAAACTTATAAAATAAAAATTTGTCATTGTTGATTTAATAAGCACTTTCCTAGAACTTTCATCTGTAATTACAAAACTATATCCTCGTTGACTTTTCCAATAAACTCAACTTAAAACCATCCGGCAAGTTGGGAATTTCTGTTACTTTATTAAATTTTTATTGCATCCATTCGAACGTGATGAAGTTTCAGATCAAACACTACAACTTTTTCGAAACGGTTATCAGTCCTTTGTATTTCATCGGATAAAAAATTCAAATGAAATACGAAGTTTGACTGAATTTCGAGAAATTGTAAAATTGATATAGAGAATATTTTATTAGCGTTACTGAAGTAGAACGAAGTGAAAAATGTATCTGAAGTTTTGCTCGATTGGATGCAATGTAATCAACATCCCAAAGGAGGCTATACAATATAGAAAGATATTGATGTGCGGGGTGGTTCAAAAAGAAGGAGTTTTGATAAAAAGTTAGTTAAAAAAATTAATTAAAGACTATAATAACATGCTTTACGGTGTTTATAAAAGAAATAAGACATATCCAGTAAGAAAACTCGCTAACACATTTGGCCAGCGTGGCGTTTGAAGGCCAATCAGTCCTCGGCATTTCTCTGACTAAGGTGGCGGTAAAAAAAGAGTTAGAGCAGTGGGTGTTAAGAATCACCGGGAGAGATGAGGCCATAACAAACAACAAATGCATAATGTACCTATAACGTAACTCTATCAACAGAAGCATCAATGATTTAATGATAGAACTGGAGAAAGAACTAAAACAGATAAAATGGGATATAGTCAGTATAAGTGAAGTTAGGTGTCAAGAACAAGACCAAGTAATACTTAAGACTGGAAATTTGATCCATTTCAGAGGAAACGAAGAATCATCTGTCGGAGGAGTTGGTTTCTTAATCCATAAAACATGGACAAAAAACATAAAAACTTAAAATTATACAGGCTTACGCAACAACTACAAGACTCTTAGATGATGAAGATGATCAATTTTATAAAGATATCGAAGCAGCTACACAAACTTCAAAAACCCGTTATATAAAGATAATTGAAGATTTCAACGCCAAATTTGAATTCAAACAAGATGAATCTGCGATGGGAAACTTTAGATTTGGTGAGAGTAATGAGAGTGGCAACAGGCTTCTTGACTTCTTACATCAGGAGAATTGCTTTGTAATGAACTCATTTTTTAGAAAGAAACCTCAATGTAAGTAGACATGGGCGAGTCTGAACCTAAAAAAAAACAATTATGTAGCAGTTTTGACTCAATTTTCAACAAGGAGTGACCATAGATTTATTAGAGCACAAACCGCTTTTAAAATTGAAGGCGAAAGAACAACAATGATCTTCAAAAAGAAGAGTAGAAGATGCATGTTCCCAGACGATGTAAAACTTTATGAAGAAAACATTCTATTTTCTATATCTAGCAGTGAACAACCGGCTGGCCTAGACGATATACGAACAGAACAAATAAAGTACTTTAGACCAAAAACCATAGAGTGGCTCGTAAAAATGATGAACTGTTCTTCTTCTTCCTTTGCCCTATCCGTTTCGGACGTTGGCTATTAACAAGGCTATTTTGACTTTGTTTACGGCACCTCTGAACAGTTCGGTCGATGTTAGTCCGAACCATTGTCGCAGGTTATGCATCCATGAGTGTCGTCTTCTTCCCGGTCCCTCCTAGTGTCGATTCTTCCTTGGACTATTAACTGTAGCAGCCGGTACTTAGTATGCCTCATGACATGTCCGAAGTACTCAAGCTTCCGTTTCTTTACGGTGAAGATGATTTCTTTGCTTTTGCATATTCTCTGCATTACTTTCACAGTGATGTGGTCTGTCCAGGATATCCGAAGAATACGGCGATATATCCACAGCTCAAAGGATTCTAGTTTCTTCAGGGTGGCTTCCATTGCGGTCCATGCCTCTGCTCCTTAGAACAAGACCGGGAAGACATAACACTTGACCAAGTGTTCTTAATTTTAGTTCCATTGAGATTTTGCTTGTGAACCACTTTTTCATATTGTTGAACGCGTTTCGCGCTTTTTCAATTCGTGATCTTATTTCTGTTGACTGGTCCCATTTTGTGTTGACTGTGGTTCCAAGGTATGTGTATGTCTCCACTTGTTCTATTTTTCAGTTGTTTAATGTCAATTGCATCGGAGGTTGTTGTGTTCTGCTGATGAGCATGCATTTAGTTTTGGTGGTATTGAGTTCTAAACCATATTCTTGACTTGCTGTGTGTATGTTTTGCATGAGTCTTTGAAGCTCGTTGCAGTCATTTGCGATAGTAACTGTGTCGTCAGCATATCTAATATTATTGATTACCTCTCCGTTTACTTTGATACCCTCCGAAACTTCTCCCAGTGCTTCTCTGAAGATTTGTTCAGAGTATATATTGAGCAAGAGCGGCGAGAAGACGCATCCCTGTCGTACACCCTTTTTAATATCTATTTTCCCACTGTGTAAATTTCCCACCTTTATCTCAGCACTTTGGTTCCAATCGAGACTGGTTATTATGCGCAGATCCTTGCCATCAATATGCATCTTCCTGAGCATTTCCATGAGTTTATCATGTTTGACCTTGTCAAACCCCTTGGAGAAGTCGATGAAGCACAAGTGGACATCCTTGTGCATGTCTCTGCATCTTTGAATTAATGAACTAAATGAACTGTTGCGTCCGTACATTCCAAATCCCCAAAATCTGGAGGAAAGCTAAAGTGGTGGCTATCTTAAAACCAGGAAAGGATCCCGCGGATACAAAGAGTTTAGTCTCTCTTTTGTGTCACCTTTTCAAGGCGTTAGAAAGAATGATACTGAACCAGATCGCTGAATCTGTGGACATTAAAATTATTCCTAAACAAGCAGGGTTTAGACCCGGAAAATGCTGCTGGAGTCAAACTCTTAATCTCATTCAAAATATTGAAGATGGTTTGAACTGAAAGAAATAATATGAGTAGCGTTCGTAGACTTGACTGCCGCCTATGACACAGTTAACCATCAACGGCTACTGGTAAAACTCTACGAAATTAAAAAGGAATTCCGACTAACAAGGTTAATGAAAGGTCTTCTCCAGAATAGACGCTTCTACGTAACGCTCCAGTCAAAGAACACTCCGTGGAGGGATCAAAAAAATAGACTTCCGCAGGGAAATGTCCTCGCACCGATGCTGCACAACATTTATACAGACTAAACACGACAGTTTATTTACGCAGATGATACAGCTGTGGCAGCTCATGGAAGTAACTTCAGTGAAGTCGAAGTAAAAGTGATACTAGAAAACTTAGCACTATACTATGACGAAAACCATCTTAGAAACAAGCATGCCCGAAGGACACTGGAGGTGGAATGGCGTGGTCAGATATTGGAACACAATGAGACGCCAAATACCTCAGCGTACGTCTGGATAGAACTCTGTCTTATCGATATCACTGTCAAGATGTCAAGAAAAAGTAAGCGCCAGAAATAATATCATCCGCAAACTAACAAATACAAAATGAGGAGCATAACCACACACTCTTCGTACTTCTGCCTTAGCATTATATTTTCCTGCCGCTAAGTTTGGAGCACCAGTGTGGAAAAACTCTGCTCACGCTAAAAACTTCGATATTACGTTAAATGAAACGGGATATATAATATCTGCTGGCCTGAAACGGACACCTATCGAACAAATAGGTCTGCCCTATAGTTGAAATCGCTCCACCTGCTCTCAAAAGACAAATCACGTCAGAGATAAAACGAAAGAAGCAGAAGACGGATCGAAGACACATTTTGTATGACCATCAAGTTCAGCCAAGAAGCCTAAGATCTCGGAAAAGGTTTCTGAAAACATCACGATCCCTTCTCGAAGAGCCAAAGATGCGCCGAATACACCTATGGCAAGGGTCATATCCCACATGGAAAAGCGCCAAACAGTCTAAGAACTGGCGTTTCACATTGTGCTAGTAACCTGAAGAAATGGGGATCCCAGGAGAACGATACCTGCGACTGTGGCGCGGTTAAGAATAGTCACCATCTACTATTATGCACAGAGATGAGAAAGACCTGCACAGAAGAAGACCTATTTTTAACGAATGACAGGGCTATCTATGTGGCCAACCATTGGAAATACAAAATTTAAAGCAGTTGGTGTTCAAAACACGAAAAGTAAGTAGTGGACAAGCAAAGATTGAATGATGATCCAGTAAGAAGTGGAAAATTTCTATACAAATCCAGATAGTTTAAAAGCTCCCAAGCAGGATTCTCTACAATCTGACTTACATAGCTCCACAACGGTAATATGTACTAAAAAATTACAAATAAGCAGACGCAAACTAAAAGGCTGGGCTGCCCAAAATTGTGACGATAAAAACAAGGCAAGAATAAACGAGCTTTGAGCGACCCAATATAGCATTGCAAAAGACCCGGTTATTTTGATAAATAGTTTTATATAAATATGTGTAAAAAAACAATTAAATCTCTCCTAATTTGTAACGCGCTATATGCTAGCTTTTTTAGTCAGTAATTTTATAGAATATAACTAATTCTTTCTCTATATCATAGAATATAATTAGAGTAAATTTATACTTTTACAAGTTTTTTCGATTTTTAGTTTTATTCACTGATAATGATAACTTTTACTATACCAATTGCTTTATCTTTAGTAAAAGAATAATATATAATGTACAAACCTTCTATAAACCAACGGTGATCCTAGAGGACTCTCCGCCACGTCCCTCCTGTACACCCTGGGAGACCCAAACGGCGAGCTCCAGTTGATAACAGGAGCAGGCCGGCTCCCAGGTTCAAAATAGTCCCAGTCGCACTCATCTATGGGAAAACTGGATGCCGTCGAAGAGCTGTCATTGTCATCCTCCTCCCTCGAAGAAGTCTCTTCCTTGGAGGAGCTGTCCGAATTGATGAACACCAACTTGTAGTCGTCCCCCTCTGGCAAAAGGATGTCCCATAGGTCAGAGTCGGGACCTCGGCGCCAACCTGGAGTATCGAGACCAGTGACGGTGTCAGAGGATTGGTTGGATGTTTTGGGTTTGAGGATAGTGATAGTAGTGCCCGCCACCGTAAAGGTTAGTACAACAACAGGAAGTTTTCTACAGAGATCTACAGGTTCTGTTAATACAAGTTAGAAAATATTTGTTAGTATAGTACCCATATATAAATCACGTCACATAAAAGTTTCTGTCTGCCATTCCTACATTATTTTACTTAAGATCTAATGAAAAAAACGTACATCCTGGCAACACTGATAGTTCATTGTATAAATATGATATTAAGTTTAATCCATCCAATGACCCATTTTAAGAAAAGTAAGTTTTTCAATAGCCAACAATACTGATAACATCGTTCTTATACATGCTATCTGTGAAGTTCTATATTTTATATTTAAAGCAAAAGGTATATAACACATGTACACTACTAGTTTGTACCTATGGATTGAAGATCGTAGCTCTAACCAGGAAATCTGCTAAAAACTAACTAATCTGAACGAAACATGATTGGAATATCACTGAGAGACAAAGATCAGCGATATCTTGAAAGAAATGACGAAAATGCAATGGTACTGGATCGGTCACGTGATCAGGTATGAGGATAACAGGTAGGCATGGAGAATCCTATACTGTAGAGCAAAGAGAACGACAATAAGCATGGAAAGACCTCAAAAGAGATGGGTAGATGACATAACAACAGTGACAGGCAAACAGTGGAGTAGATTGGCGCAAGATACAGAAAGATGGAAACAATTGGGAAATACCCATATACAGGAGTACATGGAACTTTGTTGACGAAGAACAAGGAAATATTATATATAGGAAATCACGAATAGATCACCTAAAAGAATCTGGATTGAGGACATACATCAAATACTGACAATTGGACTAAATAATGTAAAGATAAATAAAGAGTAGCGTTTGGATTAATATCTAGTAGACACTGATATGGGTTCCAGGTCACCAGGAAATCTACCAACAATGAAAGAGCTAATGCACTTGCTAGGAGAGCATCAGCAGACAATACTTCGGCCATGAGACTACCAAAAAGCATCGTCCTCGACCGAAAAAAACTTGATTTGGAAGCAACAATACTAGAAACAGGTGATACGGTCAAACAAATGGAAAAATGTATATTTTATAAGCAAGAATCAGCTCAGGATCATAACAGGCTTCCTCACTGAAGCTACAGACAGAGATATCAGAGAACCTGAAACAGTCAACCATACCTTGCATGACTGCGAGGCATTAACTGTAGGCGGCAAACACATTTTGGAGATTATCAAGTAACTCCAAAAATATATGGTACCTATCCACTATATCTGCATAGCTGCAAGCTGGTACAGGGTTGCAGAATCCTGAAACGGATATCATAAAGGAATGAATAAAAATCTATAATCATTTTCTATTGATTATCTCTTAGTAAATGTGAACAAGAATTATAACACAGATAGGAAGAATGAGGAGAATCTCTTAAAGAATCAGATTAAAAGCGTAGTAGGACAAAAACAAAAAGTAGCAAGAAGGTTCGTTTAAAAATGAGTTACTACTACACAAGATGATAACTTTGTTAGTTACCGAAATATTCTTTACACCAACTATGATTTACGCCATTGAATGTTGAGCAGCTAAAAAGAAAGAAGTATAATGAATGCAAGTTGCGGAAATTATAATGCTTAGATAGACGGGTGGAGTGTTAAAAATGAACCATATTTTTTTAGAAAAATTTTTATTACAGAAGTATGAATTGGGTAATCAATTGAGAGTAAAAAGAGAGGTAGCAATATGTTCAAGAACAAAATTAGAATCTCCTGATATAAAGAATCGATAACTTGTACGACCTAACAAGAAGAGGAATGAAAACTGTAACAAAAATCAACGTAATTTCACTTAACATATCAAAACTCTAAAAACATCACCAAATTAACATATATCCTAAAATGCATTGTGAGGAACCTTTAGTTCAAAAACATCTGAACACTACTTATAATCTCAGGCTCTTAAAATATATAAGATGTGTGATAAGACATAGAAAAATCAGCTAAAATAAGAAACTCTGGCCCGTATCTATAGTCCTAATAATGCCAATGATATGAGAGGTACATAACATTCTACTTTTCCTGTTAGAGTTTTGAACGTTCTGTAACATTATTAGAAAATTTTAAGATTTGTGTAGTTAGTTAAAAACGCCCCTAGATAAATAGTCAAATTATCACCCCACTCATACCTGAAAGTTGGAAGATCAAAGAAAACGTGTAATTAGGGGAGGCAATATCTCATTGGAATGAAGCAAAATATGGCAATTTATCAATGTTTATAAAGATTCACTGTTCTATCTAAAAACAAAATTTACTGTATTATCTGTCAAGACTAGGAATGACTTGTCGACGCGTAGAGCAGACAGAGAAAGTATTCGAAGAGAAATAGATGGATGAACGCCATTTAAACTTAGTTAACCGGTTGAGTTTACTTCTCTGACTGAGATAGAGATAATTTATGAAATATAATACTAAGTTATTCCTGGTCTTGACAACTTTGTAGTGTTGTCGAGCTGTGTATTTGTTATTTTGTAAACAGACAGAAATATTTATGTAATGTATGTGTGACAGCCCTTTTGTTTGGAAAAAAGAATTAAATATTCTTGGATGTATCAATTTTTAATTTCAGTTTCGTTATAATAATTTTGTATTCGCTACAAAGAGTGATACCAACTAGAGTTTCTGACGTAGATATAAACATCTAGAAAAGTTAAGGTTTACACAATTTTTAAGGTATTATCATGGTTAATAATTTTTTTAAAAATAATAAATATTTACAGGAAAAGATAAGACTAAGATTAGATTTTTCTTCTTCATTCTATTTAAAAATATTTATAATCAAAATACGATAATCTGTTATACGAAATATATAAAACAACAAGCAATAACCTCAGGTATGAATTTATACAGGGTGCAACAGAAGCTATAACATAAAACACATTTTTTTGTTGAAAATTTTTTTGCAAAATCTTTTCACAACTTTCGTTTCTTCATTTTTACATTTATAAAATAAATATCTTACTGAAAATGTTATAAATATTTCTTTCGTCCAAACAAAATGGTTTTGGTTTGGCTTTAGTGTTAATAATTGTGCATGTGTGTGGGAGTGTGCATTTTTAATGTAAAAATAAAATAAAAATGTTTATTTTTAAATCAGATGCAAATATTAGTAACTTGATAATATATTTGTATATAATTTAGATCTTTTCGTGAATTTTCATATTCACAGTTATATAGGGTGTTTCAAAAAGGTATGTCGTAAATTAAATCACGCATTTTGGACACAAAAATAAATTGTTTGAGTTCAACTTACCTTAGTACAAAAGTGTACAGAAAAAAAGTTACAGCCCTTTGAAGTTACAAAATAAAAATTGTTTGTTTATAAAAAAAAATAAAAAAAAAATTTTGTAACTTTAAAGGGCTGCAACATTTTTTGTGTACACTTTTGTACTAAGGTAAGTTGAATTCAATTAAGTTATTTTTGTCCCCGGAATGCGTGATTTAATTTATGACATACCTTATTGAAACACCCTGTATATAGGGTGTCTTATTTAAATAATTATATGTTTGCTATACCACGTACTTATTATTCACCCTGTAGAATTCCACATATTTTCCAAGTATTTATAACATCATTGCGTTCTTCTTCTTCTTTTGGCATCACAACCCTGGATGGGTCTTTGCCTGTCTGGCTATGCCCTTCCATTCAGATCTCTCTTGGGCCCTTCTCCTTTTTTTTCTCTCTCTTTTTTCTTTTGCATATTCTAGTCGCTTGTATTCTCTTTTAGTTATAAATTTCTCTGCCATTTCTTGTATTTCTTTGAAGTTGGTTAAGCCTAGCTTCCGTTTTTTCCTCTACTGCAGTTCTACATTCATCATCATACCATTCCGCATTTCTTTACCTTTAGGCTTTTCCGACAGTTTCCTCTGCAGAATCCGTTATTATTGTTTTTACTTGTCTCAATTCTTCCTCTACAGTATCTTATTCTCCGAGTCAATTGAGTTTTATTTGGAGAGTATTTTAATATTCTTGTTACTTGTGTTGAACTTTTCTCTTCTTGTGTTGAACTTTTGAATCCTTTAACATTCCATTTTTAATTTGGCTATTTTTCCCTTTTGCCACTGTCGCGATTTTCTGCCACAATTTTACCCCTGCAAGAGTGATCTGAGGCAGAGTTCGCCTCGCGATACGTTCTGACATTGGTTATGTCTGTTGCCCATCTTTTTGAGATGAGAATGTGGTCAATTTGATTAGCTTTATTGGTTCCTGGTATTTTCCATGCATGGATATCTTTTCTCTGGAAGTTAATACTAACAACTACGTAATTATTTGCTGTTGCTAATTGTGCAACCCTAAAATCCATTTTGACTGTTTTCAGTTTCAGTGCAATATAATTGTCAGTGCATTTTTTCTGAATAAATTTTTTGGATATCTTGTACCACAATGGAATTATGTACCACATGTATATATAATTGATGGATTCGACCGTTACTTGATGGAAATTCATTTTATGTGACAATAAAACACTGAAAACTTTGTTTTCAAACTTCCACAAAATTTATTTTAAATCTTATCACTACAGCGGTTTCCACTGATAGCCTTTCTCAAGTGATCTATTTTTGGCTTGGGCTTACAAATTTATAGTCTCTAATAAAATAGGTTGAGGAGGGGAGGACTGTTTGTCTCAAGTTGCTCATTCAGAATTATATCTGTGTTTTTTAATTTGTTGATTTCCATAGATTCTAACAAAGATAGCTTAAGGCCTTTATTTTGAATGTGAAGAATTTTAAATTTGTCATTAAAAGAATGATTATGATCTAGAAGGTGAAGTGTGTATGTCGAATCTGTTTTTCTATTCTTGAAAGCCCATTTATGTTCTGCTATTCGTTTATCAAAGTTTCTACCAGTTTGACCGATGTAAGTTTTTGGGCAGTCGCCACATTGAAGTTT